GGGTGATCCCCTCCTGAGCACACCAAAACTCCCCAAACTCCAGGCCCGAACCAGGAGGGTTCTCACCACGATACTCGGGGACCAGCTGGAAACCGAGATGCTGGGGCAGGGTCTGGGGAGGAGGCTCTCTTAAATTCTGAAGCTCCGCTGCCGAGAAATGAGTGGCTCTGAGATTCTCTGTCTTCGGGCAGTAAAGTATGCGGTGGCCGAGGTTGTCCGAATGGTGGCCGCACTCGCAGCCAGTCTCGACTTCGTATCCTGCTGCCTTGGCTCTGTCCATAGTCCATATGCTCTGAGTGAGGAAGGCGAGGAGGGTTCCCTTCTGGTGGCCAAGGAGGTCTGGCGATGACAGAGCAGCACGGGCAGCAACCACATCTAACTGGGCGTTCGGGTGGCCGATCTTCTCGGCCGCCTTGGAAGCGAGCTGGCCGTGCCAGTCGAACTCCATGAGCTTTTGGAGGAGGGCGGGGGAATGTCCTGGGAGAGGGTACTCAATGCCTGAGGAGGTCACAAAAGTAAATGGTCCCTGGAATTTCCAACCGGTCCTTTCAAGCGAAAGCACCGCGGCGCTGAGGGGGCCCCTGGAGGAGCCCCAAGATTTAGCAACTCTCGGGAGGATGGCCTCAGCCCAAACACGCAACTGCTGGAGACTGGTCACGGCAAGGTGGGGGCGGGTGGCGGCGTCCCAGACAAGGCGGTGCCACATAATGGCGGGGCCCAGGGCAGCTTTCCACAAGGGGTCCTTGAGGATGAGCAGGGCCAGACTGCGGCTGCGCGTCGGGCAACGGGGTCCCGCAGCAGCCAAAAACTGCGACCTAGCAGATTCCAACTGCGTGCCATTGATGCCAGTCACCTCGACTCCGAACGCGGTGGCCGCCTCGAGGCCAGTCCTATACAACTTATGAGTGTTACCCCCAGCTCTCTTGAGCATGCGAACCCTGTTGTCTTTTACGCATCTTATCAAGACGCTCCGAAATCTTACGCTGCTTTCTCCATCGGCGTTGGGGCCGTCCAGCCCCAGTTTCACAACCCAGGTTAGGTCCAGACCTATCCGCGTTCGGGCCCGCCAGAGGCCCGAGAGCCGTCCTGAGTTGATCCTGAAGGGCTTGTTGGGACGCCAGGACCTGACTTTTCTTGCTGGCGATCTGGCACTTAAACTCATTGATGATGCAGTCTGCCATGGACCTGGCAGCAATATTGAGCTGGCTGACGATGAGGCTGTAACTGCGGCCGTGGCACTGGAGCAGCAGATCATCTATAAACATCGCGAGCCTGATATGACAATGCGCCTGCGTCCACACGTCGAGCGGGGCGATCACATACATTTGCACAAGATAGGTGGCCCAACTGCATCCTGCGGCAACGCCCTTCCAAGGCTTGCCTACACTGACTGCGCAATCCTGTAGTGCAACTATGCGTTCACTGGCATATTGAGGTAATATGATACGCAATAAACAACACGGAAAAACCTGATTCAACAGCACGGTAAGCGAGACATGGCCGATCAACATGTTAGTACTAGTTAGATAAATCGTAGAGAACTTGGGCACTATATTGTTGATCTTTGTCAGAGCTGTTGAACTCGCATTCCAAGGATTGTTTGTATACTAATTCCACTATGGAGTGACCAGCCTGATGAGCAAGGTACGGCCTGCGGTGGTGTGCCTCCCACTCTCTGGCCGCTGACCTCCTGAGCCTAGCCCAGACTCTGTACAAAGCTGGAAGCGTGCCAATGGACCTGAAAGAAGGCTGACTGGCTGGGGCATCATGCTGTTTCAACTTCATCATCAGAGTCGATACGATACCTTGGGGCTGGGTTGGCATATGTCCAATTTTTTCGAGCAGGCCAATAAAATCGCAGACAATCTCTGCCTGTTCATTATTCAACATACTGAAATGCCCAGGGTGGAAACCGTCCCAGGTAGTGGCAGTGGCATGGGGAAAACTTTTCGCAAGCTGTCGTAATCTCTTGGGGCTGATGGGGCCCAGGGCAATACGATCATCTCTGTCAGGAACGAGCTGTGGTGGGGTATCTTGGGAAACCTGCCATATTTTTGCCAGACGATCGGCTTCTGCCTGCAATCTATGCTGAGGCCTGCCAGAATACTGCGACTTAAATGGAACTGACGAGGGCCTCCAGGCCTCCAAACGTTTGGTCCATCTGTGAGCCCATCCCATTCCTCCCTTCATGTTGTCCTGAACCCAATCCCTCCATGCCTTCCCGTCTGCAGCGTTCTCTGCCGCCTGCTCCTGATACAGGAGCTTGGTGACGTGCTCTAGCAGCTCGTCCAGAACCTGGATCGCCAGCGCCTGGTTCAGGGCACCAGCGCTGAAATCAACGTGCAACAAGCCTGCAGCAACTCTAATCTCTTGCAGCCCCTCCTTGAGGGACACGACGGCGGTGAACAGCTCAGGGCAATCCTCTAAGCTGTCGAGAGCGTCCTGAAACTCAGTGAGATTCCAGTCCTGAACACATCTATGGAAATCTTGAACCCTATTGATGAGCCATCTCAACGGGCCCGTGTAGGCCACCCTTTTAGCCCTACTCCTAGCAGCCTTGGCCTCAGCGGGGACCATAAGAACCTGAGGGGGGTGGGCCCTGGGGTGCTTGCTAGGCTTGAGGGGGGTGATAGTTTTCTTACTGATTGTAGCTTCCAAGTCCTGGGCCAAGCTGAAATACACGTGGTCCAGGAGCACCGACTGCTGTTGATCGCTGAGCGGCCGTCGAGCATCATCGATCAATTGTGAAGCGTACTCCAATGCAGCAGCTGACTGGCGCCAACTCACTTCTGGCAATTGCGGGCCCACAGGGATACGTGTGGGTAGCTTCTGGGGCCTATGCAGCGTGGGGATATTAAAGTTATTCTCAACTACAATATCTAGCAGCACAGGTCTGTGAGGGGAGAGAGGATACGAGGCAAGAGTACGGGGGTTACTGAGCCACGGCGAGAGGCCTTGGCTAGACAGGAAATAATCTAGAGTGGATTTGGTCTTCTTGTTTCTGTAGGTGGCGGTCGGCGGCGCAAGCAGGGTCATCGTGGACCTGGACAGAAACTCAGCTTGGGCCAACCGAGAGGGGGCCAGGTTAAAATCCCCCGCAACCAAAACTGGATGGGCCAAATCATCCTGAAGTTGGCCCATGGCGGCCAGAAGTTTTAAATTGGTCTCGGAGAGAGCAGCAGCAGCCTGAAAATAGGTACTACGTATGGCGAGCTTCGGGACCCCAGGAAGTTCAAGCAGCACCCCCGATAATCGAGCGGGGTCGAAAGCGGCGGAAAAAGTGATCGGCTGGACCCCCAGGTCCAAGCCATCCCGAATCAAAATCGCAACTCCCGAAGCCAACTCATTATTCTCACTCTTGGCTGCAGGCGTGATGTAAGCCAGCCACCCCTGGGCCGAGCACCATTGTATCTGACGCACAATGCTATCTCCGTCGGCAAGCTTACACTCCTGAGCACAGATGATCGCGACTGCACTAGACTGCGGCGAAAGAACAAACTTGCGAACAGCAGGCCAGCAAGAACCATTGATAGTAGCGATCTTATAAGTGTTACCCTGGCGACTTCTGGCCCTGGGCGGCCGCGAGCGCCGCAGCCTCAGCCGCCGCCTTGACCCTCTTGGTCTCGGGGCCTGACTCACTCTGGATCTTGGCCATGCCCTGGGCGACGTCGGACAGCGCAGCAGCCGCGCGGCGGCGGCCTTCAGACGTGTCCATGGCCTGCGCCTCTGCCATGGTCTCCAGCTCCTTGTCGTCGGCAGGAGTGGGGACGTGCTGGCCTGGGATAGGCGCGGGCGTCTGACTTGCCTGGCCATCATCAGGGCTCTCTCCAACTGCAGGGAAACCGTCGATGATGACCCCGCGCGGAGCCGCCGCCGCAGGCGGGCCGCCACCTGCTGGCGCGCCCGCGGCCTGGGATGCGACGTGTTGCTGCTGCAAGGTGTCGAACATGGCGGCCAGCTCCGATACTTTGTCTCGAAGTTCAGGTGGGGCCAGTCTTCCCTGTGGCATTCTGGCGGATATAACTCCCTGAGTGGTGGTGAGCAAATCTTCAGCTTTGGATGCCTCATGCGCAGCCGCCTGGGTGGCCGCATTGAGCTGCGTCTCCAGCGTCTGCACTTCTTTTGTATTAGCTTCGATCTCCTCGACCAGCTTGCCGTGATATTCACTTGCCTCGACAATTGTGGTGACCAGCTCGCTGGCCTCCTGCTTCTGCGACTGCAGCCCTCTGGCGCAGCACCTGGAGTTGATCTGACAAGGACTGTGCTTGCTGCTCCAGGCTCTTGGCCGACAGCGCCTGCGCCTTGGCGAACTTGAGCTTGCCCAACGCCGACTTGTGCTCCTCTCCATCTGGCTTCCACTTCTTCCAGAAGGTGACTTGAGCTTGAGCCAGGGCGACTGGGTCGTCAGCGGGAACTGCATCATCGAAGGTGACCGCTCGGCCGCCTCCGCGCCCCAAGCCTGGTGGGCGCTCAGGACCGCGGGAGCCTTTCCTCCAGCGTCCTGGCTTGGCGGGCTCCTCCTCGACGTCAGGCCGAACATCCTGGGGGCCACCTCCACCACCTTGGGGTCGAGCTGGGGGACCGTGATCCCCGCCCTGCTTGAAACGGCTGCCACACTGCATACAATGACGAGAATTCGTCGAGCACCAAGCCCAGCCTTTGCAGCCCCGCTTCGAGCAGACCAGGTACTTCTTCTGCTGCTGGGCGGGCATCTCCTGATGGCGGCACGCTGGCGCACGCACACGAGAGGCCCTATGGCAGCACTGATGCGGGACGTGATTGTGCCTCTGCCTGGGGCTGACCAGGCAGGCACGGGGGCAGAGCAAACAAACTTGGGCCCCAGCACCCAGGGCCTGCCCTGGATGGCAATGCTGAGACCTGCACCTCCCGCGGTGTGCTCAGGTCTTGAGCCAGGAGGAGGAGGAGGAGGAGGAGGAGGAGGAGGAGGACGAGGACGAGGACGAGGACAAGGACGGCAAGCGACCACGGAGAGAGGCCACCCCGCAGCCCACATCGCCGAGCCCAGCGACTCCTCCGAGTCCGCGGTGCCAGGCAGCGACGGCTGGGCCGGCGCCTCCGAGGTCGGCGGGGACTGGGTGGCGGCCTGGGCGGCGCGGGGCAGGGTCCAGGCGACGACCACAGCCGGGAGGGGGGGGGGCTTACCCGTAGCCTTTGGTCGGGTATGTCCCCCTACAGGCGGATTTTGGACGAAAAATGATTCAACCAAAAAAACATGCAAAAATAACAAAGACCAGTCGAAAAGTAGGCCCCAGAGTATTGGTTGACTATCTTTGAGCACTCCTCCTGCAAGAAAGGAGCATGCCCGACGTCACCGCAGCCACGGCCCGTAGGGGGGAGCCGAGCACGACAGAAGCACGAGCACTCGGAGGGCCGCGCTGCTTCCTCGAAGCGGCGCTGGACCCCCCTCCCTGGCGCACGAAGCATTCCTCCTCCTCCTCCTCCTCCTCCTCCTCCTCCTCCTCCTGTCCTCCTCCTCCTCCTCCTCCTCCTCCTCCTCCTCCTCCTCCTCCTCCTCCTCCTCCTCCTAGTCCTCCTCCGGGGGCGGCGCCGGAGGCGCCGCCCGGGGGGCTCCAGCGACGATCCGAGAACTCCCCTGAGCTTCCAGGAGGGCTAAAAAACAGGACGCGACTCAAAAACCCATCCCGGAGCTGTGCTATGTCTCGGTTTTGGGCTCTGTCGCTTCGTTTTTCCTAGGTTTCTATAGGCCTCCCGTGCTTAAAAACATAGCTCTCTGGAGGGTCAGGGTCCGCGCGCGGCCCTCCGGGAGAGGCGATGCTTTTGCGTCACCGCTTGTTGTGGCCCGAGCCTGCGGAGCCGACGCCCCGGGAGCCCCCCCCTGGCCTTCCAGAGAGCTACTTTTTAGCACGGGAGGCCCAAGAACCTAAAACACACGAAACGAAGCAGCCCAACCCCCCCCTGACCGTCCAGAGAGCTATTTTTGTTAGCACGGGAGGCCTGAAAACCTAAAAAAGACGGAACGAAACAGCCCCAAACCAGGACACAGAATAGCTCTGGGGGATAGGTTTTTAGGTCGCGCGCTATGGTTTAGCCCTCCTGGAAGCTCAGGGCCTCCGGCGCTCCCCGTGCGGGGCTGGGGGCGGTCGGGCCGCGGCCCGGCGAGCCGCGGGGCGCGGGGGGGCTCTCGAGGGCTCTCGCGGCGGTCCCCCCCCCCCCCCTCCCCCCGCGGGGCCCCTGTCGCCCCCTCGCGGGGCCCCGCGGGGCGCTGGCTGTGGGCCCGCTCGGGGGCGTGACAAACAGCCATTTAGCCAATCCCCAGCTCGAGTTAAGTCAAGAAAATCATCACCATCTCTAAAACATTACCAGCGTCCGGCTAGTTTTTTCGGACCCAGCAGCTCTGACAGCAGACCGAGTTCATGCGTAGAGATACTTTGCTAGCGCGCCTGATGATCTCCTTCCAATTGCTGTGCCAAACAGCTCTGTAGCTCATCTGCAGCTCGAGTTAAGTCAAGAAAACCATCGAAGGGTGCCCACATCCACCACCTCCCGAGGTGCGGGGCGATCGCCTTCCCGGGCGGCGGTTCTGGATCCGCCGCCCCGTGCCCCCTGGCACGTAGAGGCGTGGAGGAACACCAGGGCCTGCCGAGCAGGGCTTTGGCAACTGAGTCCGCGACCGTGCTGCTGGGCACGGAGCGGGCGTGTCCTCAGGTCCTTTGCCCAATCCTCTAAGCCTCAATCCTCACTCCTGGCGAGTCTTTCAAAAGCCCGGAGCCTGAAATTGCCAAATCTCCCAGGGCTTGGCGCGGCTTGTCGCTTGACTTTTTCGGAACCAAGAGGGCCCTAAGACGGGCAAAGAGGGCTCCAGCCCGAAGACGGTCCAACAGGGCCCGGAGTCGCCGAACGATCGGCCCAAGATGCCTAATTAAGACGGTCCCAAGACGGCCCAAGAGGCCTCCAGACCTCCAAGAGGGCCCCAAGAGGGCCCCAAGAGGCAAAAATCTGTGATTTGCCATGGAATTTTGAAGGTTGTTTGGCGTTCTCGCCTTTTTGGCTTTCCTACAGTCACACGGCCCTAGAGGCCCCCTAAGACCGCCCCAAGACGGCCCAAGAGGCCCCCAAGACGGCCCTCACAACGGCCCAAGAGGCGCCCAAGACGGCCCAAGAGGCCCAATTGACGGCCCCAAGAGGGTGCCCAGATGGGGGACCCGAACGGACATTTCGAGCCCTCGGCCCCGAGGGGCCCCCCAGTTGCCCCCAAGAGGCTCCCAAGAAGCCCCCAAGAGGCCCACCAGAGGCCCCCGAGAGCGCTCCGAAGAGACCCCAAGAAGCATCCCTGAGAACTCTGACCCACAACCCACGCACGGTTGCGGGATGGGCCGAAGACCACCAGATCCGCCGCCCCCTGTCAATTCATCGCAGGGGTGCCTGGCGTGCCGAACTATATGGTTTTGGTTTTGGTTCTTTTTCCAAAAGAACTTCCCGTGGAGCTTCGGCCCGTCCCGCCGGCCACCCGGAAGGATGTCGAAAATTTGCCCGGACCCGGCTCCAAAGGGTTTTTCCTGGTCCAAGACGGCCGAAGATGGCTACGTTGGCCCAAGATGGCCTCCAAGATGGTCCAGGATGGTCTCCAAGTTCGCCCAAGATGGTCCAAGACGGCCTCCAAGACGGCCCAAGAGAGTCCAAGACGGCCCAAAACGGCCCAAGAGGCCCCCCAGAGGCCTCCAAGACGGCCCAAGAGGCCTCCAAGAGGTCCTCCAGGAGGGCCCGAAGAGGCCAAACTTATTGATTATCCTTAGGTCTTTGAAGGATGTTGGCATTCGCTTCTTCTCGGCTTCCCGACAACCCAAGACGGCCCAAGTGGCCCCCAAGATCGCCCCCACAGCGCCCAAGATGCCTCCAAGATGGCCTCAGGACTGCCCAAGAGGCCCCCAAGACGGCCCCCAAGACGGCACAAAGATGGCCCAAGAGGCCTCCAAGACGCCCAAGATGGCCTCCAAGACGGCCCTGGAGCACTCCAAGAGGGCCCCAAGACGGGGTCAGAAGGGGCCAGGAGCCCGCTAAGATGGCCGAAGTTGGCTCGAAGCTGGCTTAAGACGGCCGGCCCAAGAGCCCCCAAAGATCGCCCAAGCTCGCCCAAGAGGCCTCCAAGAGGCCCCCAAGACGGCCCCAAGAGGCCCTCAGGGCGGCCTAGGAGGCTTTTAAGACGCCGAAGATGGCCTCCAAGACGGCCCTGGAGCACCCCAAGAGGGCCCCAAGTCGGCCGAGAGTGGTCCCCCAAACGGCTTCCGATGGCGTCGGACGGGCCAGGGGCCCACCACGACGGCCGAAGATGGCATTAAGATGGCCCAAGAGGCCTCTAAGAGGGTCTCCAGGAAGGCCCGAAAAGGCCAAAAACACTGATTTCCCATGAGTTTTTGAAGGATTGTGGCATTTGCTTTTTGTTCGGCCTTCCAACGGCCCGAGACGGCCCAAGTGCCCCCAAAGATCGCCCAAGAGGCCCAAGACGGCCCCAGGAGGCCCCCAAGACGGCCCAAGAGGTCTCCAAGACGCTCAAGATGGCCTCCAAGACGGCCCAAGAGCCCTCCAAGACGTCCTCCAAGAAGGCCCGAAATGGCCTCCAGGCGGCCAAGATGACCTTCAAGATGCCCACGTGTTCCCCGAAGGCTTTCCAAACCGATTCGGGGAACGCATGGTCCGATAGCTTGGCAGGTCTCGCCTCAACGTTCGGCCACATAGGCGCTTCCAAAAAGGCAGGGGGCGGCGGTGATTCGCCGTAGGCGTCTTCGATCCGCCGCCCCCTTTTGATTTATGAAAGGGGTGTCTGGCGTGCCTGATGATATGGGTTTTGGTTTTGGTTTTGGTTTTTGTTTCCAAAACAACTCCCCCTGGGGCTTCAGCCCGTCCCGCCGGGGTCCCGGGAGATTCCCGAAAATCCGTCCGTCAATGCCTTTGTTGCCCCAAGTTGGCCCAAGATGGTCTCCCAGGCGGCCAAGATGGCCCAGGATGGCCTCCAAGATGCCTCAAAGACAGCCAAGATGGCCTCAAGGACATCTAAGATGGCTCCAAGATGCACCCAAGACGGCCCAAGATGGCCTCAAGATGGTCTACGACGGCCCAAAAGGCCCGCAAGAGGCCTCCAAGACGGCCCAAGAGGCCTCCAAGAGGTCCTCCAGGAAGGCCCGACGAGGCCGAAATCATTGATTTTCCTGGGGGTGTTGAAGGATTTTGGCATTTGCGCCTTTTCGGCTTTCCGACGGCCCAAGACGGCCCAAGAGGCTCCCAAGATCGCTCCAAGATCGCCCAAGAGGCCTCCATGATGGCCCCATGACGGCCCCAGACGCCCCCAAGACCGCCCCAAGAGGACCCGAAGACAGCCCAAGAGGCCTCCAAGACGCCCAAGATGGCCTCCAAGACGGCCCTGGGGCACCCCAGGAGGGTCCCAAGTCGGCCCAAAGAGGCCCACCAAACGGCTTCCGACGGCGTCAGACGGGCCAGGAGCCCACCAAGAGGGCCGAAGTTGGCTCGAAGCTGGCCCAAGACGGCCCAAGAGGCCTCCAAGAGGGCCTCCAGGATGGCCAGAAGAGGCCAAAAACATTGATGGCCCTGAGGTTTTTGAAGGATTTTGACAGTTGCTTTGTTTCGGCCTCCCGACGGCCCGAGACGGCCCAAGAGCCCCCAAAGATCGCCCAAGATCGCCCAAGAGACCTCCAAGATGGCCCCAGAACGGCCCAAGAGGCCCCCAAGACGGCCCCAAGAGGCCCCCAAGACGGCCCAGGAGGCCTGTAAGACGCCCAAGATGGCCCCCAAGACGGCCCTGGAGCACTCCAAGAGGGCCCCAAGTCGGCCCAGGGAGACCCCCCAAACGGCTTCCGACGGCATCAGACGGGCCAGGAGCCCACCAAGACGACGGAAGTTGGCTCGAAGCTGGCCCAAGACGGCCCAAGAGGCCTCCAAGAGGGCCTCCAGGAAGAGCTGACAAGGCCAAAAACACTGATTTCCCGTTGGTTTTCCCAAGGATTTTGACATTTGCTTCTTTCCGGCCTTCCGACGGCCCGAGATAGCCCAAGAGCCCCCAAAGATCGCCCAAGAGGTCTCCAGTATGGCCCCAAAACGGCCCAAGAGGCC